CCAGCAAGAATTGAACCACCGAGTAATTCAAGTCTGTCTAGAAGTTGATGTGGGTTGTTAAAGTAAATCATTCCTTCTCCCATTTGATACTCAAGCGAACCTAAATAAAGTTTAAGAATGTTTTTGTATTTATGTAGAAAATCTTTTTGCATTTTAATCCTTTCTATTTCTTCTTTATCTTCTTCTGTTTTATGTTTTTTTCTATTCAAACCAGCTATTTCTCCTGTAAAAACTTTTACATCATTTTTTACTTCATCAAGTATTTCTCTAAGTCTTTCAGGGTTAGTATCAAAAAAATCATTTGGCCTTGGATATTCCATCATTTTTAATATTTCTAAATCAACATTGTCAAGTTTTTTTCAATGTTATAACGTGTAGGTGATCTTGGTTTAGATGTTGTTGGTTCTGGTAACCAATCTCTATCCCAACCTTCTTCGTTGGGATACGGTAATTCTCTCATATCAGATAATCGGTTAAACTGTTCAAAACCTTGAGTAAGAGCAAGTTGATTTTTTTTAAGTTGTGCTATAGTTGCGTTTTGCTGTTCATCAATACTTTTTTTAATGCTATCTTGAGATTTAATAAGTGGTTTAAAGTCTCTTTAAAACCTTCCCGAGCATCTTGTTTTTCCCATTTTGTTATTTTTATTACATCTCTCACCTGTCGAGTTAAAGCATCAGCTTCAATTTTATTTCTTGCAAGTTTTTTGTATTCTTCAACATCCATTTATATAATTATTAGATAAATGGAAATACCAAACTATGATAGTGATGACAACTCGGATAAAAAATTTAAACAATTATACCCTTACATGCCATCAAACACATTTCGGATGTTAATTTGTGGAAACAGTGCATGTGGTAAAACTAATCTGCTGTATCATATGTTAATTAAACCTCTACTATACTATGATGAGATTTATCTTTACGCACGTAATCTAGAACAGGATAAGTATCAAAAGCTAATTCAAAAAATGAGGGAGTTAAGTCATAAATTGGGATATGAAATACTTCATGTTAGTAATGATGAAATAATCCCAGTGACAGAAATGGATTATGAAGACAATCAAAAAATTGTGATATTTGATGACTATGTTTGTGATAAAAACCAGAGACAAATTATTGATTATTTTATTCAAGGACGGCATAAGAATTGTTCTGTAATCTACCTTAGTCAATCGTTTTATAAAACACCAAAAGATATTCGTCTAAATTGTTCTCATTACTGTCTATACGAATTTCCATCATCGAGGGAAGCAAATAGAATATCATCTGAGTTGGGAGTAAGTAAAGAAAATTACTACTCAGCAACTAAAGAACCTTATTCATTTCTCTACGTTGATAAACCAAATAAACGTATTACAAAAAAAAATTACTGGTAATCTAGTCTAATAATAAAAATGGGAATATTTAACGAACGATCTCTTGATCATCCCTTTGCTAGGGGAATTCAAGGTGCTCCAGGAGTTGGATTTAATCTAACTTCAAGTGGTGATTATGATATGGTAGGTAAAAAACTAAGAAATGTTGGTGCACCTAGTGCTAATACTGATGCTGCTACAAAGAAATATGTTGATGACAATTCCAGTGGATCACCCTCAACATCAAGACTAACAGTTGATTCAAACATTGATATGAAGGATAGATACTGTATTCAAAATCTTATCACACCACAGGATTCTAAAGATCCAGCAACAAAATATTACGTAGACAACACATTTCTTGACAGAGATGGATCTTACCCAATGAAAGGAAATCTTAATATGGACAACAATCGAATATATAATCTTCCTGCTCCAGATGGTTCCAATCAACCAACACCATTAGCTTTCACAGATATGAAGTATCTCCATGTTGCCGGAACAAATAAAATGACTAATAATCTAAACATGGATAACAAAGGTATAATTCATTTAAAACCACCAACAGACTCCACAGACGGCGCAACCAAAAAGTATGTGGATGACTCAATACCTGATAGCAGTTCTTTTATAAAAAAGGACGGAAGTGTATCAATGACTAATAACCTAAATCTTGGAAACAAAAAAATTGTTGGTCTTGCAACTCCAGCGTCAAACACAGATGCTGCAACAAAGAAATATGTGGATGATAACACAGTTGCTCCAGATTTAAGTAATTAATTGAAAAAAGATGGTACCATCAAAGAAAAAAGATGGTACCATCACTATGACTGGAGAACTTAATGTTGGTAATAACAAAATAGTTGGTCTCGCAACTCCAACATCAAATACAGATGCTGCAACCAAAAAATATGTGGATGATAGTGCTGGAAGTCCAGATTTAAGTGATTACTTGGAAAAAGATGGTACCGTCACTATGACTGGTAACCTTAATCTTGGAAATAATAAAATAGTTGGTCTCGCAACTCCAGTGTCAAACACAGATGCTGCAACCAAAAAGTATGTTGATGATAATGCTGGAAGTCCAGATTTAAGTAATTATTTGAAAAAAGATGGTAGCGTTGTTATGACTAGTAACCTAAATCTTGGAAACAAAAAAATAGTTAATCTCGCTACTCCAACATCAAATACAGACGCCGCAACAAAGAAATATGTAGATGACAACACAGCTGCCCCAGATTTAAGTGATTACTTGGAAAAAGATGGTAGCGTTGCTATGACTGGAGAACTTAATGGTGGTGGTAATAAAATAATAAATATTGGTAAACCACTCCAAAATAGTGATGCTGCAACCAAAGATTACGTTGATAAACTAGTTCATAGTACAGCAGTTCAACCAAGTCATTACAACAACCAGTTTGCTTATCTTATGTCAAGTGGGTCTCAATGGACTGATGAAATAGATAGTGGAAATAGTTTTATTTTAAATAGGATAGATGACTTACCACCAAACAAAGGCAACTTTCACGATTATAATCACAAAGTAATTTACATGTATATAGTTAAAAATAAACAACAATATAAGTATAAGATGGGAATTAATTTTTACAGAATACCTGCAAATACTGATTACACGTTGTGTTTGAAAATACTCAACACAGATTATACTCTTTGGGATAAGACTCAAATAAGTGTTGACAAAGGAACTTCAACAGGATTATCAATTGGAAATGTAGGTATAAGAAAACTATCCCATAGGTATACTGATTCAACAGGGAAAACACAAACTATGTACTACCATAGAATGATAGTTAATTTCCGGAAGTTGTCATCTGGTAATAAGTTCTTTCTTCACATTCTTGTTGATATTTCAAACAGAGGATATAACATTGCGAAATATCCGCAAATTTTTCAAGGGGTTTACATGATTGCTTATGGTATTGTGGGTACATTTAGCAATATCGACCCAGATAAAGTTTACGACTATCACACCGCATTTGACATCAAACCAACAGAAGTAGTGTACAACGTTGATATAAATGCAAATCAAAAAGAAATTAAAAATATCAAACTTGACCGAAACAGTAATAATAGTGCTGCAACAGTTGCATTAGTAAAAGAACTAGCTCCTCACACTAAAAACAGTCTTTACAGATTATACTTTAGTGAATTTTATGACTTTACTGATGCGGATTTGTATGGATTACGTAGAGGTGTATCTGGTGTTATTTTCAATTCTTTAAGACCTAATATTACACTTCCCAATAGAGACCTAACTGATATAACAAATTATGGCATAAATGTGAAAGGTTATACTGTTCATTTTGGTCTTCCTAATTATATTACAAAATATAGTTTATGTATTGTTTTTACTGATTGGAGAAATAGAAGTTTTAGCCTGATTAAAGAAAATACAGAAAATAATAATATTTTAGTAAAATTGGATTATAATAAATCAAACAATAAAGTAACTTTAACTGTCAATAAAACAACTCAAAATTTTACCATGCTAAGTAGTTTTAATGGCCAAAGGATTGTTGTATGGCTGTTAGAAAATTTTAGTGCAAATGTTACAAAAGTTAAAATAAGTAACTACAGCTCGACATTAACTATACCAGCCGTTCAACAATCCTATTTTCAACAGTTTAATTTTACAACTGAAGATGGAGTGTTAAATAAATTAATGTACTCTCCAAACTTTTACGACACTGACTCTGTGCAATATCACAAAGTAATGCTTCAAGAAAAGTTAAATGGATCTTATGTAGTATAGGGGAACCTACGGTTCCCCCTCCCTTGGTTATGCCACATTAATATACACAAAAGAATAAATGAAAAGAAATAGTAGTAAAAAAAAGAGTATTTTTGAATTTAATCATATCGACAAATCTTTATCGGAAGAGCAAAGAAAAACTATAACAGACCTTTATAAACATTACCATAAGAAACATTGGTGTTATAAGAAATCTTATAAATCTTATAAATTTTTAGGTAACATTTTTTCTATTTCTAGTTTATCTCTTATTGCTGTTGGCACTATTACAGGAGGATTAACATTAAATCCTATTATTCTTGGTGTAATAAATGGAGCAGGAGTAATTGTGGGTGGAATTACAAAAAAGAAGGATTTTTAAAAAAAGATAGAAACAACAAAGTTAGCTTATACAACTTATGAAAAAGTGCTTGTTGAATTACGATCAGCACTCAGAGGAGATGAGTGGAATAAACAAGAATTTATAGATCGTATTAAAATATTAGATGAAATGATAATTGATCAATGTCCATCGAGTGTGGATAACTTTGTGGAAAAATATATAAAGAAATTTAATATCTAGTGTCATTTTGTTGACCCTGCGTTTCACGGGGGCAACAAAAAAAAAAGTTTTTTTATCATTTTCACTTACATTTCGATATTAAATTAATATCGAAATTTTAATCTAAGTATCTAAATGAATGCCTATATCCATCTTTTATTGATTTAGCTGTTTTCGATTTTTTTTTACAAATTTTATAAATATGAGAAGCATTAAAGTGCTACTGTGATCAAATCAAGCATTATTTGTGTTTTACGATTTTTAGAATGTTTGATAGCTAATAAATACACATACCAAATTTGAGATCCTAATTCTCACTGGAAGTCCGATTTTCTAAGCCGTGTTTTTCTTCAGTGGCGGTCCGCCATTACCGAAACTAAATATGTCCGAGCAAAAGGGGAGGGATTGGATCGAGGTCGACGGGGTTGCCTGTGACGTCATCTTATCCCCAGAAGCTGAAAGAAAAGTTCTTCTTGGTAACTCTTCTTGGTCAGTTTCATCGTGCAAAGATACCCTTGTTGCTACGTTGTCCAGGACTGCAGCAACAGTCTCCAATCCGAAAAAGGGAATTTCTTTGCACAGGCAAAAGAGCGCTGTGGAACGCATTTTTCGAACGTGCAGCGAGAACTTCAACCTCAAGGAGTTCTGTATTAATTTCACGTTCGATTGCTTCGAGAGGCAAGTTCACGTAAAAGATGCTGCAAGAACGTAGAAGAGGAATTCCCGGAGCCAATCCAACTATATGTAAAAATAACGTACCTGGCAAGTCCAGTGTCATGTTCGCGAGAAGCCGGCTTATGGTGAGTTAACACTCATATAGCCCTTTGACTCTTGCTTTGTGGGATCGTGTCATAATTTTCAGTTTGGAGCCGGGATAGAAAAGGCAAGATACAAATCATTAGTACGGTTTTTTTCGAAAACACAAACTTCAGTTATATACACACTGACGGAGAAATAAACAGAGATGACAAGAAACGATCGCCCAATCTAGTATTTTGTTGTGTTTCGCGTAACTTCGCGGCGGTAAAAAATGTCGACCGAAAATTAGAAAAGGGGCTAATTTTTTAGTAGTCTGTTTTGGTCGTATTCGCTGCAGTCGCTGAACTCGTAAAAATCATTTATGGATACTGAACTGTGAAATCTTAGTTGACAATGAAATCATTGATTCAGTCTTCATTTTTCTGTAGGTGCAGTTCAGTGATCACTTTCCAGTATGTGAAGTTCAGTAAGACGCTCAATGACCACACAGTAGTTCAATAACCATAGCAATAGTTAAAAAAACCGCATATTAAAGTTGTTTAATCTCTGTATTTAACATTATTTAGACATTGTTCCTATTTTACAGTAAGTGATCGTAAGTATCACTGTTCAAAATTATCTTGCCTTGAGGCCTGCTAGTTCAGTTTTCATTTTCCTGTAGGTGCAGTTCAGTCAACACAGAATAATTATATAGTTCAATAACCATACAGCTAGTAGTACAATAACCATGGCAGTAGTTCACAAATGGCATAGTTTCCTTTCATTGTTGGTAATTATTTGAGGGGGTTAGTTTGTTCAAGCCACTCCCATCTTTGTATTTTATTTAGACATTGTCCCTCCATCATAGTCAGCCACATCAAGAGCCATTGTTCAAAATTTTCTTGCCATGGGGCCTGCCGCTAGTTTGGTATTTTTCCTCTTGCAGTGCTAGTATCTGGTCATAGCTTTACAGTGGAAATGCTTCCACTTGGTTATGTTTATGAGTAGTGTCGTTGCTCTAGATCCTGTTATTATTTTGGTTTGTTCCAAAAATTAGGCTGGTGGGTGGGGCCTTCAGCCTTGGATTTTGTGATTATTAATTTGTATTTTGTGATTTATTTTGATAGAGTGCTCCAACTCCCTTTTCATCTTTCGAGTGTTATTTTTTGATGTTATAATTATTTAATGATAAAGGGTAAAGGGTACTCTTTGATTTATTTTGATTACTGACTAATGTCACTTCAAATACTTTCTTATTTGGAAATCCCTCGAAGATGGTGAGAAAAAGGCTTGTAGTACATGATGCAAGAAGTGCTGCATTGATAAGGGATGTTTCTTTTGATGATCTTCTAATAAAGAGTATTACTGCTGATTGCTACATAAAGAAAGCCAATTAAAGAAGTAGAGGGTGAAGGAGTTGGAAAGAACAATATGGAGTGACATATAAAAAGACTACATACAATAGGAAAAATCTTTGGAGAATTATTCATCCTTTTCCATTGTCTATATAAATACATTTTCTCAAAAGAGTTATTCCCTTTTTCATTGACTGTATAATTATGCACAATTTTTAAAACAATCTGTAACTGTTTTGTACTCTTTTCTGTTTGGTATTCATGTGATTTTTATTACATTTTCTTTTTCGGCTTTTTCCTTTTTTCACGGAACCAATGTATATATACAATTTCTTAAAAGAAGAGGGGACTGTTTTTTTACTTTTATCTGTCTGGTTTACATATTATTCATTTGCCTGTGCCAAGCACAGCCATAAGTAGAAACTGTGCATCCAACCACCTTGCCTCAATGACCGCAGTTTATATTTGTTTTGTCTTTCTTTGGAGAGCCTTTTGTTCTTCCTCCAGCTCCTGCTCTTCCTTTTAAATCTTGCATCACCTCTTCTCCATGTAACAAACTTTAAAGTGTAGTTCTTTGATTGATAACCTTGTAAACGTATGCTCATGTGTGCAGCCTGTCAGGAAAAACCTTATGTTATCTGAGGAGGAAACCTGAACCCTCCCAAAAGCAGAGCCACACACTTAACATGAACCTCGAGGGAGAGAGGTTGAAGTAAAATAACAAACTATTATTAAAACTGTGAAAGGTTTGAACCCAGAAGTCATTTCATAAGAAGGTTGTATCACGTCAGTTATAATGGTATTTTTAAATTAAAACTGGTTATTGACCTGATTGGTGAATTAAGCTGTGATGTTATTGGTTCTGCAAAGAGAGAAAAGCAAATAACAAATAAACAGGTCTTTTCACGGCTTTCAACTTTTGACATGGGCAAGTTAAGGAAAATCTGTTAGAAAGAGTGCCTTTCAGTCAGTACAATTGCCAAGTTTGAAAGTGATCTGTTGGAAACTATACAACAAGTATTCCTCAAAATTGCAAAATTTTACAGACATTAATTGTATGGTGGGGGGCACAAACTTGCCCCCACCATACAAACGTCTGAGTGTAAAATTTTGCAACTTTGCAGAGCTCTATCTTCCCTCATTTAGGACCTAACACTTTTAAACTAGGCAGGTTAACTGTTAGACTTGCTACAAGTCGACCTCTCATAAGTTCTTAGTCAGCGAAGCAAGCTTCAACAAGGTCACACAGTGGCCAACCAGGAAAAAAAATGTAAAGGACTTTTAGAAAGTCTAGTTAACTGTATTGTAATGTGTTCATTCCAGTGGTGTTGACAGATTTTCCCTAAATTGTCCATGTCAAAAGCTGAAAAAAACAATGTGGCTCACTGTAGAACCAATAACATTGCTACTTAATTGACCAATCAGGTCAATGATTGTCTATGATTCATCATCTTCAAAGCCATGATGTTGCCCAATTTCACTTGGAAAGCTGTCCTTATCGCTTTGTAAGCACAACATGGGTATGGATAAGGCTTGGAACTTCCAACAAAATCCCAAACAAGTCGAGTAAATTGTCTGTAGAACACTGATCGGAGAAACCTATAAAGAAATAAAAAATATGTACTCAGTCAATCCCCAGTTTGGTCTTTTCTACTTGTTTGTATGCTGGACTGTTTGATTTTGTTTTTTAATGGAGCTTGTTCTTTCTCATCATGCAGTAAGGTAAATGGTGTACACTCCTTGTTTTATTTTCTTTATTTTATATAGGAGTTTTGGGCCAATTATAGTAATTTTTTTCAGGGTTCTAGAAAAATAATAAGAAAAAAAATAAGTCTCTACTGCTAGGAGTTTATATTTTCTTCATCAACAAGGGTTTGAGTATAATTCAACCTTATTTACCAAATAAATAGATATTTTAGGTTCACCTACAAGACACCCAGGTGAACAACATATGACTTCAACAACTACAGCAAGAGGACGAATAACAACAAAATAAACAACAAGGAGTGGATAAATTACTCTGATTCCGTTTTAAGACCTTGAGTGAACAAATTTCGGTAACTTTTTCCAGTTTTCGTCTTCAGATTAAGCGATGCAACTTGAAGAAGCCACCGGTTCAGGCAAACATCCTGAAAACCGGGATGATTGATGAAGAGTATTAAATGCAGTCACCTTCCCGTTCTACTTTACCCATACTTCCCTTACACGGTCCATTTCTTTGCAGCAAATACACTCCTCCGTTTTGGTGGTGATGGGACCTGATGGCGACGGACCAGTTCGTACAAGTGCACTTAACAAACAAAAAAGACATGTGCTCCGTTCAGTATTGTTTTTATTTCACAAAGTTAGAGAATTTAGATACTTGTACTGGGTTCCCTTCTGCTGTGAGCAAATTACATCAAAACAGAAACGCAGTACGATGAAAAAAAAGAAAAAAAACGACAAAAAAACTCAATCGGAGTAATGCCTACCATGCGCCTATTTCACCAGTAAAATGTCTTTGGAGCTCGAGATTACGATCTTCTTCAAGAATCACGCTTTCCTCGAATGCGGCGGCCGCTTCTACGGTCGCGTTTGGCTCCAAATCCTCATCGTACGGGATAAAAGGAGTTCCATTGCCGTCCAAAATATCTTTCTGTTCGACTGTTTTAAATCAGATCTGTCTTTCGAAGAAATGGACGAAGAACACGGAACAGACGACACCGCAATAACACGCTAGAAGTAGTTGTAGCGAGATGGTGGTGAGTTTTGGGGATAAGATGACGTCACAGGCGACCTCGATCCAATCCCTCCCCTTTGACTCGGACATTTGTTGTTTATGTAATGGCGGACCCATTTTTCCCACTTTCAGACATCTTTCTTGTGGGAACCGCTTCATCAGATTGGTCTGAATTACATTTTTTCGTGAAGTTTTACGTCCAAACATTAAGTTCGAGCCCAAAAATTTCGTTTAGGAAGACTGCGATTTTCGTCGCAGTAGCACTTTAATATCCAATTCAATCGCCGCTTTTTTCATAGAAATATATCTTTTTTCTTTTCTAGTTTCTAAATTTGTAGAAATTATTGCCTTATTTCTACTTTTTTCAACATTTTGCTTATGTGTAAGTAATTGCAAATTCTTTATTCTTTTATCAGATTTACAAGAGTTGATATGATCCACTTCCATTATGCTAGGTATCATTCCTTTAAATACTTCGTAAACAAATCTATGTTGATAGTAATTATTTGGTTTTTCAAGTTTTTCATTAGATAAAACAAAAATTAAATAACCATTACCATTATTTTTTCTTCTACTTAAAATTTTCTCTGTTTTTAAATTTATAATTTCTCCTTTCTTTGAAGCTCCATAATTATCAAACACCGGATGTTTATAGTATTTTACCCCATTAATTATAACTCTTTGTTTTATTTTTGAATCTATAATTTTATAGTAACCATATTTGCGAATTGATGGTAATACCTTAGTAAATACCCACTCACGAAACATTTTTGCAGCAGGTAATCTTGATTTAAAAACTAATTCGTAAAATCCCGCTTCGTTGATAAATATAATCCATCTACCTTGTACCTGATCGCGTGTTTCACGCGGGCAGCTTTTTTTATCTTTAAATACCTGATCGCGTGTTTCACGCGGGCAGGTCAAAAGAAAAGTTCTTTTATTATTTTCACTTACATGTCTCTTAATAACATCAACTGTATTTTTATATCCTAGTATTTGAGCAACTTCTTTGGCTTTGAACCAGACCCTTAATTTGTAATCAATATAAGAATTAAACTTAATTCCAAGCCGATTGTTAATAAATATTTTTTGAAGCATTTTATTTATGTTTTTATTTCTTTAAGCCATAATTAATTTTTATATCTAAACATAAGATAGAAAATGATCAAATCAATTGTAGAATATGTTAATCTTTACTTTCCAACTTATAAAACACAATTTTATCCAGACAACTTTATAAAAGCTTGTCTAGTTTATCAGTTTCTATACGCAAAGTATTTTTCACAAAAACTAAACATAGATCAAATTATTTACAAACTTACAGAAGCAAGACACTACCTAAATTCAGATTCAAATATCATTACCAATCATTTGATATTCAGTCTCGCTTTTCGTGCTTTTTGGAAACATTATAGAATTGGAAGAGGTTGTGTACATGCAATCAACACTCCATTTAAAGAATGTGAAGTATTAGGATATCTAACTGGGATAATTTACTGGATTTTCATAAAGGTTTAATATAATATATTAATAAAATGGTAGCTGTTATTATAAAACAAAAAGATGTAGAACGTCTTGCTAGTAAATTACTAAATGAAATGTTTAGTTTTTTACATGATGAGTATATACTCTCAGAATTTAAAGAAATGAAAGAAGTACAAAAAGAATTCCTAGAAAATCTTGCTTTTAATCATATTAATACTTTACACAGAAAAAATGAAATAACAAAAGAAAGAAGAGAAGAATTAGTTAAACCATTCCTAGATGAGATATTAATAATTGGTGAAAATAGTTCATATTTTGAAAAAAATATTAAAGTTGAATATTTATCAAAACTTGTAAAAAGTGCTATGGAAGATGGAGGTATTGATACAGAAGGAATATATGAAACTCTTAAATCTTTAAAATTAGATTATGAAATAGATGGAGATCTTTATTATAAAACAAAAGCATTTTTAGATATTTTTAGAGTATTTGAAAGTGGATATAGTTACTTAGAAGATTAAATTTTATATTTTTAAAAATATAAAATTATTTACTGGTGCTTTCACAAATTAGTAATTTGTAACTATCCCACCACTTTTCATAATTTTCTAAAGTTTGGGGACTAATCTTTAGATAAACTAGTTTGTACTTTTCACAACCCATCTCTTCCAAAAGTTTTTTGATTAGATAAAAAATGTTTATCATTCTCTTTCTACAAAATTGTTTGTTTAGTATTTCCATGACGTGATTATCTATTATCATTAGTTTGTTATAAAGTTCATACTTTTCATTATCAGTTAGATGTAGTCTTTTGGAAATTTGATCAACCTTTTTCTCATAGTGATACTTTCTCTGATAAATACTCTTTTTTCGAAAATGAAATCGATCGTATTCTTTAAAGTCAAAATAACCAAGAACATGACCATTAGTTGTTCCACAGGAATCGCAAATATTATAACCTGATTCAACACAAAAACTATTGCTTTGACAATTACTACATTTAGCTTTTCTACTTACATCCACTGGTTTATTATAATTATGTAATATTTCTAGATATTTTTTTATTTGATCTTCTGTATACGACATTTATTATTTATTATCTTATTATCTTAAAGCAAGGGTTTTTACTTTGTCCTCTAAGACCTTCCGCTTATCATCTTCACTACTCAAAGCTATTTTATTTATTTCCTTTGAGTAAATGTCATGATTTTCACTTCTTATGATTTTCATAGTTCTCATTTGCTTTTCACCGGTAAATAAACACTCAAAATAATTTTCAAAATCTATTCTCTTTTTTACAACACTCTTTTTTACACCTTTACACTTCTTGGTTAAACTCCCATCCTCTATCTTGAAAGTATAAAGCTTTGGCCGAAGACCAATAAATTTTGTAATCTGTCTACCAGCTTTGTCTCTATATTTCTTTTTGATATAATTGTAATGAAAATCAAACATTAATGTTTTTGATAAATCTAAAATTGCTTGACCAACATATACTGGTTTGTTAAAATAAACTTCTGTTTTTTTCATGTGAACTGCATTTAAATTTTTATCAAATATTGTTGCTCTATCAAAGTTTGGACGACTTGTTAGTTTTGCAGCTTTTTTACGATCATCAATAAGAATTATATTCTGTCTTTTCCTTATGTTTTCTATTGTCTTTCCAAAAACGCTATTATTCATTAGTTTGAAAAAGTCTTTCTCAAAACTGTTAGCTGCTGTTTTTCGAAGTTCTGTATTTTTTCTTATGTAAGGCTCCATCCAAGAAGATTGGTAAAATGATATTCCTCTATGAACAGCAGTAAGCCTAATTCCCATCTCAAGATATTGTCTAAGATTACGATAATGTACAACATAGTTTTTTCGGGGTTTAAAATGACAAATAAGTTTTTCAACACCATTAACAATCATCTTCTCAGGTGCAAGAGGATAGTCATTATGTGATTTCCATAGCTTTTTAGGATATTCCAAATCAACTTCAAATATATAACCTTTTCTTCCACGATTTGACATACTATGATTTGCCTTATCTAGGATGTCCATCACTTTTTCTTTTGTTATATTTTTCATCCAACTGAATCCATGTGTAGGAAGTTGTTGTGACATTGCGCAACCGTATAGATTATTTCCATCAAGATATTGAATATAAGTAGACTCTTTATCAGGATTATAATCTTTCATATATTTGCTATTTGCTTCTGCATATCTTTTTGATATATGGGATATTCCTCCACGAATACCACGCTCAAACATCATTAACTTATCATAATCATGTAATAACTGTAATTTTTGACCTGTTTCTTTAAGACATGCATCCCAAGCTAGTCCAGGAGATGTGTAATAATGTGCTGGATCTAGGTTGTAATGTTTGAGGCAAGTTTTTCTAAAGTTTTCAAATACATCTGCCAAAAGTAGGACATCAGACTTTAGGTAAAGATCGTGATAATCTCTAATTGTTTTACACTCAAAAGTATTCCAAACATTAATAGCGTGTTGATAATCATCATCACTTATATCTTCATCATTCAGTTTTGAATAAAATTCTTCTTTTGGTGGTAATTGTGTTTCAGATAGTTTTTCGAGTGATGAAACATAGTCATATGGATAAACTCCCTTTCGAGTTAATAATTTTACATCCTTCTTAAATACTTGTTTTGTACTAAGGAAATCATCTGGTTGTAAATTTGAAACAAGATTGGCAAGTGATGTTTGAAGAAACTTGAATGAATCTATAAATCTTATTTCAAAATTTATTGGTAAAGTTATTCCGCTATATATTTATCTTTATACTCACCAACTTTAATCTTTTTGAAAAGGAAATATATTTTTCTTCCGTAGATGGAATACAATTTAACTCACCTGGTAAACAAGCAAGTTGTTTTATAAACAAATGAGCATCATAACCTTGAAGATTGTGAAATATAACTGGTAGTATTCTTGGTTTTTTACACATAAGATTACACTTGTTATGTGCTGCTCCACGATAATTTCCGGTAAAATGACAATGATCTCTTACTTTATCTTCTTTTAATTCTGTACTACAAATATGACAAATTTCCGCTTTATCAAATGATTTTTGTTCCTCTTTATTTAATCTAAGTGGTTTTGGACGGCGATAAAAATCATTATATATACTTTTTGTTACTTCTGAAAGTTTGTTAACAAATATTGATGCTACATTATCACTATCATTAGTCTTTGTGTAAATAATTGGTTTAAATGATTTATTAGGAACTATTCCTTTAATGTAAAAACAAAATCCTGATGGTTCGTGTTTTTGATAGTTGCAACTATAAGATTTTTCTGGATTAGGAGTACAAGTATTTATTGATTTAGTAAAGCATTCAAAATCTGCATAAACTACAAAAAGAACTGGAAGTTGCTTTTCATAATTTTTGAAATATAACATTGTACCTTCTTCTGGCATTTTTACAGAAACTGTTTCATTATTTGAACAGTATAAGATATGTTTTTGTAATAATTCTTCTTGAGCGAAATGTGTAAAACACCTTTTACAAATAAATATTTGGCCATTAAGACTTTTAGTTTTTTGAGACTTAATCAAACGATGAAAATTTTTGATTAGTGTGTAATGTGAAACTCCATCTTCTTCGTACAAAAATAAATCAATAGTATTTAAACAATCTCTCTCTGCCATTCTCAAAGGATAAAAAATTTTGTTTTCATTAACTGAAAAAACATTAATACCTGGAATTTCTGGATTAAGTTTTTCAAATTTTGTAATATCTTTTAATTTCATTGGAAAACTAATTCCTTTAGTATTAAGAGAATTTTCATATTCTTTTAAACCTGTTAATCTTTGTTCATCTCTTTCTCTTGGGTGAAGACATCTAAGTATACACCAAAGAAAGCATTTCTCATCTTTGTCTTAAATATTAACAATTGCTTTTTTGTTTGATATCCAGTCTGGGAGAGGAATGTAAGATGATCCCTTAGATGGATTAAACTCAACAGTATGAATTTCAAGTTGAACTACCTCTTTAAAATACCATCCACTTCCATTTTCTTGATAAGCATCAAAATCACCAAGAATTCTTTTATAAGAAATATCAATTAATTCACTTAAATCTGTTGACTTTAAATTTTTTCGAATTCCTGATGTAAAGTAAGCCTTACTTTCATTCAATCCAATTACTCCTTGATCTTTACTAAGTAATTGTTGTTCCATTAAACAAACCAAAAGCATATTAAATTTTATGTTTCTGTGATATGTAAAAAATTCTTCTAAAGTATTATAAATTTTATTTAAAAAATCAACTGGAGATAATCCAGGTTCTCCTTTAATAACATATTTGTTAGCAAAGTTTTCCAAAGATGATTTTTCTTTAATAAGTCCTTGATTGTGTTCCTTAATAGCTCTCTCAAGAGCTTCACGTAAATAAGAAGGAGTATCTGGTGGTATCTCTTTATTTTTTATACATTCCTCAAAATACTCTTCAAATGATTTTATCTTTTTCTTCTTAATTTCTTTTTTTACTTTTTTCTTCCTTTCTTTTTTTATATCAATTCCTTTTCTAACTTTCTCTCTAGCTTTTTGTAATTTTTGATATTGTTTAATTAATTTTCTTCTTTCTTCTAATTCATTATAATCTTTCTTAAGTTCTTCTCTTTCTTCTTGTATTATATGTCTTATTTCATCCAAAGACAAATTCTGAAATTGTTTATCTGTTATAAAGGGTTGAGAACCCTGAAAACCATTTGTTTGGTTAGACATGACGTCTTATAATATTAAGCTTATATTATAAAACGTAAATCCTTAAGTTATAATTAATCCCTCTTATAAAAAGCCACTCTTTACGGAATTGACCTACATATTCAGTAATTTTATCAATTTTATTTAAATTAGCTGCTCCAGAAAAGTGCTCCGCAACAACCATTTCTATAACTACTTTAACCTGAATATAACTTTGTCTTGACCTGTATAACATGTACATGACATTGCTGCAAAATTAAATCAAAGAGGAAGAATTCCTAAAAAAATAGAGAACTCATTATGTTAATGTGAAGGAAAGAACTATTGATATTTAATACAAAAAGTCACTTAAGACATGTAAATAAAGGAGAGCATGTATTAAGTTTAAACAACTTTCATAGAATCATATATTTACTTTCCTTGTATCTACATTTACATTTATAATACACTGAAAAAGATAACATTCAAATAATCTCCAATATATTACTTTGCCTGAACAAAACAGGAAGATCCCACCTCCAACATCTAAACCTACATGTTAATGATTAATGTGTTCCAAACATACATTTATTTCAATGCATACATACAAATATCACCAAATGCAAATTTTAACATTTCAACCAAATATTAACTAAATTAAATTCATAAAATAAAACAATACACGGTTATCAGGAGTTTTCTGCCAAGTACATGTACAAACTGTGAAACCTGTATTTAACCCTGACTGATTGATGTCCATACATTTCCTTAAAGAATTAGTTAAGAGAATTTGACAAAAGATCAAAATATTTTCCTTTTGGCAATCATCTTATCATTATAATTCTTAAAACCTATTCTCTTGATAAAGAACTGAAACTGTCAGGAGAAACTGATGTTGGTCACTTTTGGGCCTTAGAGGATAAAGGGGACACTCATGAAAACTTCACTGGTGTCCGCTTAATACAGGCTTGTTTTACACAAGAAAGAGAAAAAAACAGTTAAAACAAAGTAAGCCATTTGCCTGCTTGATAAACGTTTCACTGTAACTGTTACAGTCAAACCTCGTTAATGTGGACCACACAGAGACAGAGCAAGGTGTCTGCATAACAGTTTGTCGATATTATGAAGGTACAGTAGCTGGATTGTCAAAAGTCTAGTGTCTATGGAACCAAGAGAAATGTGTGTAATTGAGAGGTGTCCGTATTATGGAGAAAGGGATTGCATGAGGTCTGAAAGGAACATGTATATATTTTCCAAATTGGTGGCTCAGTGGCTCTTATCATCATCATCATTTTTATTAGCCTTTTTTTTACAGCAAATTTTACAGGATACAGCAGGTTGTTAGGCGAGGAGACCTCAAGAAACCACCAGGCTTATATAGAGAGGCCACCTCGACATCGCAATATTATAAGAAATAAGGGCTGCGAATAATAATAATAATAATAATAATAATAATAATAATAATAATAATAATAATTTATATAGCGCTCTTCAGATACCCTTTCATAGCGCTTTACAATAATCAGGTTAACGTAGAACCTAAAAACTAAAAAATATAATAAAATACCGAGATAAATTAGTAAGAAAGCTTAAAAAATATATATATATATATTATACAAAAAAAGAAAGTTAAAATCTTAGATCTAAAAAGACTAAAATAAAATTACAGATAATAAGAGGAATAAAAAAAACGTGTATTAAAAATAAAATTAAAAACCATAGGCTTCTTTAAAAAGATAAGTCTTCCAATGTCTTTTAAAAATGGCAATTGATGGAGATTTACGAATGCTAAGAGGGAAGCTATTCCATTGCCTTGGCGCAGCAATGCTGAACGCCCGATCTCCATAAGTCTTTAGTTTAGCCAGTGGCACAGTGAGAAGTTCTTGCCCACTGGAGCGTAAAGACCGAGAGCACTTACGATGGCTCAGCAGAGTAGAGGGTGTAAGAGGGTGTTTTGCCATTGAGTGCTTTATAGACTAATAACAGGAGCTTAAAAATAATACGTGAATGTACGGGGAGCCAGTGTAGCTTGAACATTATTGGGGTAATCGAATCATACTTCCTTGTTAACGTGACAATGCGAGGTGCCGTATTCTGAACACGCTGTAATCTACAAACTAAGTATTTTGGACAACAATATAGAAGTGAGTTACAGTAGTCAAGCTTAGAACTAACAAAAGCATGGATGAGAATTTGAGCAGAGTCCTGGGTGAGATATTTGTGGATCTTTGATATACTCCTGAGATGATAATTTGCCTCACTACATATCTTTTTTACATGTTGTTCCATGCAAAAGCAATTGTCCATGATGACTCCTAGGTTACGTACAGACAAATTAGGAGCAATGAACTCATCATCAACCCGAACATATTCAAGATTTGGTCTATTTCGAAATTTGGAGCTAATGACGACAAGTTCAGTTTTGTCTTGATTGAGTTTCAATAGGTTTTTGCACATCCAAAGGTCGATTTCTTCAACACAGCGCTCAACACGCAACTTTGCCTCATCAAGATCAGCACAGCAATCGGTATTGAAGGAAATACATAGTTGCGTGTCATCAGCGTACAGATGGTATAGTAAGTCATACTTCTTGATGATATCAGCAATCGGCGCAGTATAGAAAAAGTACAGCAGTGGGCCCAGTACAGACCCCTGAGGCACACCACGCAACAACGGTCGCCTTGATGACATGCCCCCTTCTACATTAACAAACTGTTGGCGGGAGGTTAAGTAGGACTTAAACCCGGCCAATGCAGTTCCCTTCACCCCAAAACGGTTCGAGAGTCGAGATATTAGTATTGCATGATGCACCGTGTCAAATGCTGCTGAAAGGTCTAATAAAAGTAATATGACCGACTTTTTTTGATCCAAGGAACACAAGATGTCATTATGTACTCTAAGTAGTGCTGTTTCAGTTGAGTTAAATTCTTTGTATGCTGACTGAAACGTCTCGTCAAGATGGTTGGTCATAACATGTTTATTCAGTTGAACTGCAACAGACTTTTCAATCAGCTTAGAAATGAAAATTAAATTCGAGATTGGCCGAACGTTTGTGAACCGCTTGAAGTCAGCAGTTGGTTTCTTTAATGCAGGTGAAAGAGAAGCAATCTTTAGGGCATCAGGCATAGAACCAGTTGTCAATGACAAATTAACCATTCTGGTAATAGTAGGTAGGAGTGCAGGGAAGCAATCCTTAAATAGTGATGCCAGCAGAGGATCAAGACAACAGGACTTGCTTAAGGGCTTATAAGCAAATTCCTTGACGTCTTCTTGACTGACCTCATGAAAGTTATTTAATTCAGCAGCGTTGGTAAACAATTCATTATCATCCGCTAGCGATAGATCTCTGTTTCTTGCCAGGGCAGTGTGAATCTTTTCAACTTTGGCAGTTAAAAAGTCAGCAAATGAATCAGCAAGTAAAGCATTGCTAAGAGAAGGTGGATATCGCGTTTCATGAGATTTCTTCATAAGCTTGTTAACAGTTCTAAACAGCACTCTTTGATCTGAGGAATGCTCATTAATTAATGATGCATAATAAGTAGATTTCAGTGAACTAATCAACTCGTTGACAACGCAACACTGATACTGGTACGCTTCCCTGTCACTCTGTAGGCGTGTCTTCCGCCATTTTGTCTCTAAGCGACGTCTTTTCTGTTTTTCAGTAGCAACTATTGGCGAACACGATGGTGCAAAAGGTCTTATTGTCACCAAACGCTTTTTAGCGGGGGCTTATTGATCCAACAGCAATCGAAGACCATTATCATATTGTGCAACTGCACTATCCAAGTCAATGGGTTCTTCTTCAACTAAAGAAGAATTACGAACATCCTCGCGAAAGAAGTCAATATCCAGGGAGCGCAATTTTCGAGTGCTGATAACTTTCTTCCTGAACTGAGGTTTTTTGAGAGATAAGTTACAGAATACTGCAAGATGATCAGAGATCATCGGGTCATGGAGCTTAACATTTCTTACAAGTTCCTCATTTAATCTTGTTATTAGCAGATCTAGGGTGTGGCCACTTGCATGAGTAGCAGAAAGGACATGCTGTTTGAGATCAAAGGTTTCAA